AGCACTTTGCCTTCTTTGCGGGACACTCACTTTTGGGACGTGACGGTTTCGCTCCACAATAGAAACAAGTTTCCCTCTTTGACCTTCCCTGTTTCTGATCACTGGAAGCTGGTCTCTGTTGCTGCTGTCTGTTCCGGTTGGCTCTTCATTGCCTGTTTCCTTGGAGTTTATGAACTTCCATTTGTAGTGGTTCGCCTTTGAATTACGGTCGCATAGAACCAACTTGGTGTGTTGTGGCGTCCTGATTCTGAGCGATTTCTCTTGCCTCTTCTAGCGTCAATTCTGAACCTTTTCAATGCATTTGTAGCGTAGTCCAATAACTATTGCATCCCGAAGTAGTCGATCGCGGGCTTTTGGAGGATATTCACACTGGTGGCACAGAATAGTGGCTTTGTCAATGTACTCTGCAAGGCTAAGATCACCTTGCTCCAAGCGGGGGAAGTTTGATGCGCCTGTGAGTGCATTAGATTTCGGCTTTGTCCACTCCACGAACTTTTTAAACAGCACGTTTGGATCTCCCTTCTCTTCCGTGGTGAGATTCAGTGACTTAATGTATGTTCTTCCAGCTTTTCCTGTCCAAATGAGAACATAGTTTGCTTTCACAGCTTTGCTCTTCGAAGCGAGCGGACCATTCAAAGGAAGTTCGCATTCCTCAACCCAATCCAAGCACTTTTGGTAACATTCGGGGCCAAGTGTAAATTTTCCTTTCGGAGCTGGTAAATGCTCCAATTCAGCCATTGTAGATTGAGAGAGTTGATGTTTCGAAAGCTGGCGGTGATTGCTGTCGACGTTAGTCTTGGCTGGGTTTGTTGAATCTTGACACCATGTTAACTACTCGGTTCTGTAAAAACAAAGTTCTTTATTCGCGCACACACTAATCCAAGTAATAATAGTGTAGAGCCAAAATTCACGAGTTTTATACCTGCTAGCATTTTGCATATATTACGGTCATACTACAATATACACTAATTAGCAACGATTCTATTGTGATAAAACGTAAATGGCGGCGTGAATTGCTGATTATGCAACAGCATCTTGGTACCAAGAACAGCAGATTTGGGGGATTACTCTCCCTCGAGATTCTACAAAAGACTAAAAAATCACACAGAAAGCCACACACAGTACCTGAGAAACTTGTATAACCAGAAAAAGGCTTGAAACAGCTCTACTAATGTGCCACATGGGTTCCCCATCACTACCCCCCCACACCCGAGGTGATCATTACGCTAGTCAAGTATAAGGAGAATAGTATCGCCTTGTTTGTGATGTTTAGCCCACATGCATCAAATTTGTAAAAAAAAAAATACCAGTATGTTAGAATTCTTTAAAAGACAGCAACACACAGATGCAGCCCTTTTTTATATCTTAGGGCCTTAACTCCTGACAAGGGATGGCTGATTTTGGGATCTGCTATTTTCCAAGTTTTTCTGCTCTTGGACCTACGCGTACATACGTGTTCGTTTGACTAATACATAATAATAGTAATAATAATAATAATAATAATAGTCTTTATTAAGAATTATTGTGCAAACAGACGTGCAACAATTAACATGAATAGAATGAATAAGGAAAAGGAAAAGGTATTAATTACTTTTGAAAAGACATCTATTAATAAAAACTGATTTAAAACGGCTTGTCTGAACCTTAGGTAAAATATAATTATGCGACCTAGTTCTCAACTGCCGTGCTCTCATCTCTGTTACGACGGATATCCAAGATACTGTGCTGCTTTAAGCAGTAACCCAGCTTATAACACCTGGCAAAGAGCTTATCAATTCTACTTAAATATTTACTATAAAAAGCGCACCCCCAGACCTCAATAACATATGTGAAAACTGAAAGAATCAAACTTTGAAAAAGTAAGTCCAAATTCTCAATAGAGTAGCCATAATATTTACATATTCTTAAAATATACAACCTACTGCTAGCCTTACTATGTAGATAATCAATATGAGTGTCCCAATTAACTGGCACTTGCTCAAAGGTAACACCCCATAGTTTCAGCTTTGCTTTCCTCCCTATGATCTCGAGTGGTTCAGGACGCGTCTTGGAAGTCTTTCCTCGTAAAAGAAGTTCCCATGTTTTCGTCAAGTTGATTTTCATGCAGTTCTTCTCGGACCATTCAATAAAGGATAGCACTTCCGTTTCGGATTCATCTAAGCCTACATTTGCCTCGATTGGTAAACTAATAGTTATAACATCAGCAAATTTAACTAGAAGATTCTTATTAGTATTAATAGCTTTGATATCGTTAATAAAAATAGAAAATAAGACCGGCCCCAGGACTGTACCTTGAGGAACACCCCTATTAATAGAAGCATATTCAGTACGGCTGTGACCATCGACAACAACTCTCTGCTTTCTATGATTTAAAAAACTAATAAGCCAATTAATAACATATGGATTAATGTTAACTTGCTTTAATTTACTACTGAGGGAATTGTGTGATACAGAGTCGAAGGCCTTACTAAAGTCAAAGGACAAAATTCTGACAAAATCG